GAGTTTGTTAATGGGGGTTGGTTTGGTTTGGTTTGGCTCGGCTGTTTTGAGACAGGGTCTCAATATGTAGCCCAGGCTGGCCTCGAATTCACAGCAATTCTCCTGCCTCAGCCTCCTCACCACAGGGATTACAGGAGTGTGCCACTATACCCAGTAGATCACCACTAGTTAAAAAGATGTAGGATAGGGCTGGGGGTGTAGCCCCAGGAGTAGAGCGCTTGCCTAGCATTCAGAAGACCTGGGTTTGATCTGTAGCCATGCAAAAGTAATTAATTGACTAGCTGGTTGACTGATTGATGAGGCAAAATTAAAAGATGTAGACTTTCATCACTGAAAGGAAAGGCCAACTAAAGACGCTTCCTCTGGCCCTTTCTTGAATGAAGAGGACTTGTTCCTCCAGCCTGCAGAACAGGGCTTGCTGGCTTCTGAGGCTCCATGAGAGGCTCCTCAGCCTTCATCTTCTAACATCGACTTCCCTGCTGTTGCTCCCGGGAAGTGAAAAGAACAGAGGCTCTGACCGAGCAGGAAGTGTCACTGAGCAGTCACATCTCTGCAGGTCATATTTTCTTCTTAAAATTTTAGTTTGAGAGCAGATCAGTGAGTCTGAACAGTAGATCATTACTGACTGCTTGCTCTGTGCTAGGTGTTACACCGGCTATGTTAAAGGGCACAGGAGGTGTGAGCCTCAGACTCTGACCTCCAGGGGCAGTTTATAAACCACACACGATGAAGATATTGTTGTTACCAGTAGTAACAGCTACAGGGGTGATCAAAGCTGAGAGAAAGCTGTCTGCCATTGCGCACGCCTGTAACCCCAGTACCGTGGGAGGCTGAGGCAGGAGGATTGCAAGTTTGAGTCCTGCTTAGACAACTTAGTGAGACCCTGTCAGAAAGAGAGAGAGACAGACAGACAGGAGGCTAGACACGTAGCTCAATGTGAAGGCCCTCGGATTACTCCCCAGCACAAAGAAACAAAAACAAAATCCAAAACCAAACAATCAAAAGTTTAGGAAAAGCAGAAATTGAGCTGGGGAAATGAATCTGCTTGAGAAAAGGTGGGAGATGGGGTAGAACCCCCAACTCGGCCGTAAGCCCTGGCAGGCGCTTTCCAGGCAATCAGTTGCACAGCCTTCGAGGTAAGGGGAGCACTGAGAAGACAAGGTACACAGAAGTTGGTGGATTTGAGCTGGGCGTGGTGGCACACACCTGTAATCCCAGCACTTGGGAGGCTGAGGTAGGAGGATTGTTGTGAGTTCGAGACCAGCCTGGGCTACAAAGTGAGCTCAAGGCCAGCGTGGACGGCATAGTGAGACCCTGTCTCAAAATGAAGAAGTCGGGTAGACTTGATCAGTGCTACACAGCCAGCAGGTGCAGGGGACCCCATCTCTGCCCCACTGCAGGGTGTACAGGGCAGTGGGGACAAGCAGTGTCCCTGCCGTCAGGACACAGACTCCAACAGACCCTCCAGGGCTGTCTGGCCAGGGCACCCTTAGAGACACCAGCACAGAGCCTCCACCTCACCCCTGAAGGCCTGGAATCTTGTTCTCAGCAGCAGCCCCCAGCCAGGCACGGTGGCACCTGCCTGTCATCCCAGCACTCAGGAGGCTGAGGCAGGAGGACCACTGGGAGTTCGAGGGTAGCCCGGGCTACATAGCGGCACCCTATCTCAAAAACCGAACAGACAGAAAAGAGTGAATGCTGAGAAGTTCTCAGCACCAGTATCAGATGACTAAGAAGAGCTGTAGGGAGCCACAGTAACATTCCCCAAGGCCGGACAGCGAGAGACAAAATATGCTTCTCTCTGATCCCAAAACATTCACTCCAATCTCACGCTCAGCACCACACCTTGTGAGCTCAGGGTCGGGTTAGTGGTCTGGGCTGACTTGCAAACTCATTTCTGAAAACTTCCAGTGATTTGTGTGCGCATGTGGTTTGGCCCATTTCTTTAATTTTTATTCATGCTTCTAGTAAGCCATTCTTCCCACAAATAAAATCAGCAGGATGTGGGTGTTTTACTCACAGCGTTGTACTAAAAGCAAATCTGAGCACACTCCTGTGGCAGGCCTTATTCTCAGAGTTTTAAATTATGAAAACAGCAAACTGGGCATAATTTCACCAGAAATGTATATCATGCCAAAGAACCGATCAGACACCAATATGCTGCTCCGTTCCTCTGAAAGGTCTGGAACACAGCTGGGTATGGGGGCACATCCCTGTAATTCCAGCTACACAGGAGGCTGAGGCAGAAGGATTGCAAGTTCAAGCCCAGCAGGGACAACTTAGCAATTTAGCAAGACCCTATGTCAAGATAAAAAATAAAAAAAGGCTGGGGATGCAGCTTAGTGTGAAGGCCCGAGGTTCCATCCCCAGAATAGCCAATTAAAAGAAAAAAAAGACACAAATTTCTGTTCCCAAGAACCATGGTTTGATGGATTAATGAGACACACATGATTACATCACAGGGACAGACAGCGGCATAAGGCGCAGTTGAGAAGGAGCTAGGCTATATCTACCAGTATCAGCGGGCAAGGCACGGCCTCACAGATTTCTCCTCAAGTTACAGAAGTTTGACATCTGCAGCCACTTTCTGAGAGCAAGCACGTTTCAGTGTGTTCCTATTAGCCTGAAGCACCTCATCAAAGGGAAAGAATGAGCAAAGCACCAAGAGAAAAGGCCCCAAATCCTCTGTGGATAGTTAAACAATTTACCTACACAACAGAATATAAAATTATTTTAAATGACACCATCAAAGAAAGAGATGGCAAACATTTACAACATGATTATTACACGGAAAAACAAGATACAAAATGACATTTGTAAAATATGTATCATATGTGACTCTGACCAACTTTTAGAAGCGGATAGAATTTCTTTGTCATACAAGACAAACTATGCCAAACAACTCACAGTACTTGTGGATCATAATTTATGTTCTCTTTTTTTAACTCTCCTATATGTTCTTTTCTTTCTTTCTTTCTTGGTACTAGGTTTTGTTTCAGTTTTTTTTTTTTCTTTTTGAGACAGAGTCTCACTTTGTAGTCCACGCTGACCTTGAACTAAGTAGGCCAGGCTGCCCTCGAAATCACAGTAATCTTCCTGCCTCAGCCTCTGGAGTACTGAGGTGTACACCACCATGCCCAGCTTGTATTTTTGAACCTTGTGTTAGCTCTCCTTTGAGATAGTCTCAGAACACACTAGAGTCTCTAAATAACTAACATGTTGAAACTGCAAACTGGACAGATTTTGTGAAAGAAAGAAAGAGAGGGAAGGGGAGGGAGGGAAGAAGGAAGAAAGAGAGAGAGGGGGAGAAAAAGAAAGAAAGAAAGAAAATAAGGTTTCTAATGTCAAAGGAACGTATGCAATGCTGTAGGGAGGAGCTTGGACTGCTCACTAAATGAAAGGCAGACTAACCAACTTTGTATTAAGCATAGAAACCTGTAACAGACTCTATGAGACTGTAAACTTCCATATTAAAAATGAGACCAAAATGCAGATATTTATAGTCTAGCTTCAAACTCCCAGTCCAGTAAAAGATTCTAATTATTGATCTTGCATTAAAAACTGAGCCAGGGGTGCAGTGGTGCACACCTCTCATCCCAGCATTCAGAAGGCTGAGGCAGGAGGATCTCTGTGAGTTCAAGGCCAGCCTGGGCTACACAATGAGTTTGAGGCCAGCCTGGGCTACATATCGAGACCTTGTGTCCACACAAACGAACAAACAAAAAACCTGAAGCCACAGATCAACCACTAGAAACCATCTACAATAACTAGAAAGGCTTAGGTGGAAGCCAGCCGCTTCTGCCTGTGTTAAAGACACGCGGCTCAGGGTGAAGAGGAAGCCCCTGCCCTGCTATCTCAGGCAGCAAATGTCACAGAACACACTGCAGCTTTCACCAGCCGGGCCTCAGAGCACCCTCCCTCCCCTGCCTTCCACAGAGCTGCCTCACATTTGAAATTCGGGCTTATTTCCTAGAAACAAACTTTCTGGGCGAGCACAATGGGTTGGTGATAAACAATTCTGCGAATCTCCCGAGATCTAAGAGAACAGCCACAAGCCGGATCCCGGCTGCCCTTTCAGATGCCCATCAACATTTTTTACAAGGTTCTGCAAACCCGAGGCCACCGTAGGTCTGAGAAAGGAGGAAGCGCAGCATCCCCTCTCCCATCCCGCCTTAGGCGAGGCGTGAAAGTGCCCTTCCTGAGTAGAAAGAGTGTTTATTCAGGAGAAATTTACACATTTATTGTTTTAAAGGGATAATAAAAACCCTTTCAGGCCCCGAAGTAACACTTAGCTCTATAATAAAGGTTGATTAAAGAAAACCTGCTGTATATAAAGTAGGTGGTTCTCTTTCCTGCCGGGCCTCGTGGCCAGGGGTCAAAAGAATTTCCCCAGCAATACGCCGGGTGTCCGGGGCCTGAATGGCTGTCGCTGTCGCTATCGCCTGTCGCCTGGCCGGCGCCCTGATGGCCACACACGCGCGCGTGCACACACACAAACATGCGCGCGCGCACACGAGTGCACACGCGCGCACAACACTTTCCTGGACTCAGGAAGTAGCCTTTGTTCCCAGTGCCCCAGTGCGGTCGGTTCGGAGGGCCCCGAGCCCCTCCAAGTGCGGGCGCCCCGGGCTCGGGTAGCCTCGTCTCGGGGGCTCCACGCGCTGCGCCCTCGGGGCTCCAACGGCCACGGAGCCGGAGCGGCATCCACGCGCTCTCCCCGCCGCCCTCCGCCCCCGGATTTCCTCCAGGCGCACCGACACTTGGGCGCCTTTCCGGGCCCCACGCGCGCCCCCCGCGCCGCCGAGCCGCTCACCTCGCCCTTTGTCCCCGCCGCGCCGGCCCGGCCCTGCTGCCCGGCTGCGCACTGCGCTCTGCGGCCGCACGCAAAGCCCGGAGCCTAGGGCGCTGAGGCCACGACCCCCGACCCCGCCGCCCGCGCTCCGCTCTCCGGGTCTTCGGGGCGGCCCGAGCTGGGCCAGGAGGGTCGCTTGTCCTGGCCCGGGGTCCCTGCGGGCCACGCTACAGCCAGGACGGGGCGGACAGCGACGGCGCCACGCTGGGCCTGGGCCTGGACCCCAGCAGCGCGGTTGGTGCGCGCTGCTTCTTTCTTTCCCCTTTAGTTCACTGAGGGTAGAACCCGGGAACTTCGCACCGAGCTCCAAGCGCAACTCTTTATTATTTACAGACCGGGTCTCATGAAGTCCTTAGGTTGTCCAAGCTGGGTTTGAACTCGCCATCCTCCTGCCTTAGCCTCCCAGTATGCTGGGATTTTAAGCGTGCACCACCGTGTCCTGCTTCGTCTTTTTTTTAAAAAGCAAAGGTGGGGAAAAATAATAAAAGCTCAGGTCAGGCCTCTGTGTTTTCAAGAAGCGAGGACAGCAGAACTGGCGTCAGGAGCTGGCCTGGGCCCGCTGCTTCTCACCGGGACCCTGGGAAGGCCTGTGCCGGTAGAGGAACAAGAGTACCATTCCTCCTGCCTCAGCCTCCCCAAGAGGTACCAGCCCACAGCAGGCAGAAGTGCTGCCAGAAGCAGTCTCCACAGATCCCGGTCTTTCTCCTCCTCAGAAACACTTTAGATTTACATGCAAGTAGGGAAAGCGGCCCACACTGCAGCAGTGAAGGGACACAGCAGCCTCCTGACTACAGTGGAACTGTTTTCCATACTGGGGATGGAACCCAGGAACTTCAAGGTGAGCTACAGCCCCACACCTTTATTTTATTTCATTTCATTTCAAGACTTAAGTCACTAAGCCTCCCTGGGCTGGACTTGAACTTGTGATCCTCCTGCTTCAGCCTCCCAGGCCTCACAGAATGCTGGGATTGCAGGCATGCACACTAAACGGTAACTTTTTAGAAGTGCGAGAAGGCTGCGAGGTAGCACAGCATCTAGGAAATGTGCGAGGCCCTGGTTTCCATCCCTGCAGGGACGAGGGGAGGGGTCTCCCTACTCAGCTCCTGGGCTGCAAAAACAAAACCAAGCAAGCGTGGATCTCAGCGAAGGCGGCTCAGGGGGCACCGTGGGTTGCCCCTCCCCCGCTGTTCTAGAGGAAAGCCAGTCTCTACTTCCTTGGAAGCACAAATGCAAGTTAGCGCAGCAGGGACAAAACAAATCAAAGTGGAGACCATGTCACACTTCGGGAAAAACTCAGCGCAGTGTCACCTACACTTTGGGCAGCTGTCACCGTGACTGGAGAGGGGAGATTGAACCCTCTTTCTGAAGATCTAGCGTGAGTGTCTGAAAAGCATGGATTCCTCCCCACTAATAATTAATAAGAAAGGAGGCTGCATAGGAAGGCCCTTCGTTATTTTCCAGTTTAAGGGTCATTTCCCCGTCCCTAGTTCTCCCGCCTGAGCACCGGCGCACACAGGCGGTGTGGTTTGTGTTCCCGGCACTGAACCTGACCCCTTACTTTATGTCTTTCTTGACCTTGAACCAAAACCTGAAT